GTTTTAAGTCTTTCTAATCATGCTATATTATATCTGATCTTGAAATTTAATTAGTCAATTATCTAAAATACGATATATAAGCATATTGCAGGTTGCAATACCTAATTAAGTCTTTATTATTATTATTATAAATTTTAATTTATTTTATTTTATAATAATTATTTAAAGGTGAATTTATTTATTATTAATAGTGATACAATAACAATAGTAATTGGCCAATTATACTATAGAATCAGGTGTAATATTTATATAACCCAAAAATGAACATAAAAAATTTTCAAAAATTTACTATAGCTCAAAATTTGGTCTATAAAACTACCTTTAGCATTTTAATTAAAAAAATTCTTTGCAAAATTTTACTATATGCTATATAATATTTTAACTTCAACTTAATTCTAAACCTAATTCTAATGATAATTAACTTTAGTATTTGTTTTGATTCTGTTATATGATATGATTGGCTAATTATGATTATTACTATATCACTACTAGCAACAACTAGATTTTTTTATTATTTAAACTAATTTTTTTTAATCACAAATTGAGGACTTAAAACTAAAAAGTCTAAATTATTAGTAATTTCTATATACAAACTATTATTTTTTTTTTATAATCTTTAAAAATAAAACTATATCTTTATTTTTATTAAAATCTAATTAAATTTTTTTACAAACTATAAGAAAAATTATATTATTTAATAGGCAAATCTCCAAATACTTGGACAAAAATTTTTTTTTTATATATAAATTTTACTATAAACCCAAAAGTGCAGTGTCCCTATCTAAAAAGATTTCTCAAGAACTATTAAGCTAATTTTAATGTTCTTACTACTATTAAATGCATCTTGATAAGCTCTACAACTTTTGTTAGAAGCCTAAGAGTGATTTATTTAATAATAAAAAAGTTTTAGATAAAAGCACTACACTTTCAAGCTTATAGTAAAATTTATATATAAAAAAAAAATTTTGTCCAGGTATTTGGAGATTTGCCTATTAAACTTTATATCTAAAAGATACTAAAATTAAAAACTTAAACAAAACCTATATTAGAATTATCTGTAACTTAAACCTATATACAAACTATTGTTAATAAAGTCTTTAAATATAATATACTAAAAAGTAAATATTTTGAATAGTTTATATAAGATTAAGTCTAATTTTTTTCTTGAAGTAAACTTCTCTTTATATTTAATATCTAAACTAAAAAAACCTTTGAAAATAGCAAGTATACAAAAAACAAGTAAAAAAAATAAAAAGTTGGAATAAACAATATAAAAACACTTTCTAGTTTAGTATTTTATAACAAATACTACTACCTTTTTTGTTTATATTTTTGTATTAATTTTTTTTTAAAAAATAAAAATTTTAAAAGTATGGCAACTTAGTGAAGTTGGTAAGTTGTTGCATCTCCAAGCAGCAGGACAAGAATTCAAATCCCATTGTTGACGAAAATTCGAATTTACAGAATGTATTTAGAAGACTATCTTATTGGGTTAGCACCTGTAATAGGGTCATACCAGTACAAATTTGTACTGGGAGGCTGAAGAATGACTGTATAATATATGAGTTGCACAATAGTGATACAGCCGAGTAAATCCAACAGATTAAGATACGGAAGCTTGCTTAGCAATACCCGAGTAGAAAGATAGCACAGATCTTTGACAATACTACGTAATGATCTGAAAAAGGGAACCTGAATGGCAGGAAAAAGGTGACCTGAACTGGACCGAAGTGTTTGGCAAGGCACTTTACCAACCAGGCCACCAGGAGAGTAACCGGAGGAAAAAGACCCAACCATGGAGACCAGGGCAGGTCACAGCCCTTCTGGACCATCTGGATTAGAAGTTTGGGAAACCGGAAGTATAGCTTAGTTTGGGAAACTAAAAGTAGAGTTGTTAAGTGTGTACTGGGATTTGAGTAAACTCTACAAGAGCAGAAGTAAGTAATGGTAGCAGCTTCAGCTCACAAGTACTTGTTCTCGAACTTGGCGTAAGTTATTGAAGACTAGGTTAGCCGGATTGTAGGTACGGAAAGCTCTAGCAGGTTTGTCCTCAAGGATAAAAGACTTTCAATAGTGGAAGTCTGTCTTAAAGTCCTAAGCTGGGTGTCTGATAATAAGGGGTTCAAATAGATTCTTGCTCGGTTAGAAGGTAACCCACATAGACGCAGAGAGTTTAAATAGGTAACCCTCTAATTGGGTTGCAGATATGACACCTAGTGTAGAACTTAGTAATAAGTGGACTACTTAAATAGGCAACCAAAAGTTGTATGTGTGGCTAGTATGTACTCTTCAAATATGTATACGAGATGCTATAAACGCATATTGTAAAGTTAACTATAGCCAAATAAAAGGAGCCGGCCAAGAGGCCACCTTAATACTAAAAAAAAAATAAATAAATAAAAATTTTGTTTTTTTTACTTTAATGATTCTACTTTTATTTTATAAATTAAAAATAGATTACAAATTGTTCTTGACTAGCTAAACCTATATGCAAATTGTTAAACTACTATATTCTTGTTCAAATAAAATTCTCTTGATCTGTCTTATTATCGCAGTAAAAAGTAAAGAAACTCTAAATTTTATACTAAAGTATGACCAGAAGCGATTTGCCTAAATGAACAATTTTTCTTTTTCTGGAATCTTCAACTTTTTAAAAATATGAATCTCAGATATTAACAGATAGCTCTCACTAACCTTGTTAGAATCATCATTCTATAATAAAATATTACCAATCTGATGATACTTTCTCATAAAGAAATAAATAAAAAAAAAAGAAATAAGAATAAAACGAAAATGAGAAAAGTAAAAAAGAAACATATAAGAAAATAATCAAATATAAAGTAATTAAAAAAACTATTCTAAAATCTAAGAAAACTTGTCTACAGATATAAAAACCAGCTAATCAAATAAAAAACCATCTATATGGTTATAAAAATTTATATATAGAGCTATTTAACAAAAAAAAAAAAACTATAAACTAAAATGCACTTTAATATGTGCTAAAGACTAAAAATTATATGCATATAATTTTAAAATACTATATATCTTTAATATATCACTCTAACTTGCAACTCTTATTTAAATCTATCTTGAATTTTAGAATACTAATTTTAAAACCTTGATATATAATCATCAGTTCTATTTGTAATAGGCTGCTCTTTTCAAAAATCCTTTTACAGTTTTTTATTTTATGCTTTATTTCTATGTTACATGAGATTAAACAGGAGATTTTCTTTATAGTCAACCAGCATTATTAAAAACTATTTTCTCAAGTTTATCACATAAAACCTTCATTTTTGTATAGTCAATACTAATCTAAATATAAAAATTTTATATACTTTGATTAACCAAAACAGAACATTCTCTTCATATATGATTATTGTATTCCTTATTCATCATATTGTAATTCAAGACTTTTTAAAAATAAAAGTGATAAACAATACCAATCTTTTGAAAGAGGATAGTCAAATTTCAACTTTTTGTCAAAAATTATGAAAAAAAAAACAGCAAAGAAATATTATAATTTTGTGAATTTTTCAACCAAGAAATATTATTTCAAGAGTTCTTTATAACCTTCTGTCCCAAAATATCTTGAGTCTTCAACTTGCTTTTGGATACTAGTTGGTATAAATGATTATTGAAAAGAGTTGTATTGATGAAAAGTGAAAATTTTGATTTTTCACATTAAAAGATTAATATTGCTTATATTTTTATATCAGGAAATTTAGATACAATATGATTATAAAAATGCAACAAAAATAGTACACTACTTGGTTTAATTCTAATTTGGAAAACCTATGAACAGTAATGTATATTTTGACTGTTCAAGGCTTTTTGATAAAAATTCTAATTTCCTATTTTAATATATTTGTGTCATATTAAATATTAATAAAAATTATTTTTATATGCTATAACGTTAATATTCAAAAAGTTTTTTGTTGATAATACAACAATGTTGACTTCAAGAAAATAACAATACAAGTGCTATATAATCTTAATCCGAAACAATAATATCATTACTGATGCTAAGTCTAACTAAGATACTTTAATGATACTTTCATACCCGAATATATACAACTGTATTATAAAAAATCATTTATTTATGTACGAAAAATATACAACCAACTCTCGATATAAGAAAGATGATCGGGTCCAAAGTAAAGATTTTCTTATATCGAGAGTTTATTAATAACTTTATTATATCAAAAGTTTGATTAGTTTTTTTTATATCGAAGGTTACTTATATATATCGAGTCAGTTGTAGTATAAACGAATTAATCAAAAAACGGAGTTGACATGTTTCGAATTTTCGATACGTAGTAAAATCGTATTAATCAAATTAAAACGATAGTCTATTGATATTCATCATCGATATCGTTTCATATAATCATCTGTCACATGAATATCAATCTAAAATCAAATTATTTGATGATTCTAAATATATACTATTTATGGAAATGGCTAAAACGTTGTAATCTTATTATTAATCGTATGATAAAAAAAAAAAAATCAAGTGACTATTACAGGGCTTTAGCAAATCTCCATTTTAGTATCGGTATCGGTATAGAATAAAAAAAATCTTACCTTTTTTATAACCAAACTTACATCATATGAGTAGTATGAATTTTATCAATCTAATTATATGTGGAAGGATCATGTCGACATGTGAGTATATTAAAGTATTGCCTTATGTTTTAACGCTAAGGTCAAGCATTGTTTAAATCTATTTAGAAATGATCAACAGAAAAATTCTGGAGAAGTCGCGACGAAAAATACGCGAGAGAAAAAAAAAAGACACAATAAAAGAAAGTGATGTATATAATAAAAGTTAATCAGTTCAATATGCAAGATCGTTACCATTATATATTAAATACAATTAAGAATAAATAATATAAAATTAAAATGTAAAAAAAAGTGTACGAAAGAATTAAATCAGCACAAGTAGAAACATTCTTTAACGTAACAAAAATTTTACAATTACGGTAATAACAAAAAATTAATTATTTCCCAAGACGTTTCCTTAAAGCGCGCAGACGCTTTCTCAATTTTTTATGTTTATGCTTGTTCATTTTCAATCTTCTTTTTTGCACAATGTTTGTCAAATGTAATTTAAGCTTTCGCCTTTTCATTTCTTCATCTTCAATGGATTGTTTTTGTGATCTATTTAAGGTATTGTTATTTGATATCGTTTGTTCATCTTTTTTGACCCTTGATTCTATATCTGTAAAAAATCTATTAACAATCATCTGTGATTCGGTGGGTGTAATAGATATTGCTGGTTGTGTAGGATGGAATGGGGATGATGTTAAATAAGGGGATAGAGGATTTGAGAGTGACATTGGATTAGGAGCGTTTGATGTGTCCTCTTCATATTCTATTAAAAAATTAATGTAATAAAAGATTTAATACTTAGTATTTAAAAACGATAACTGATTCAACAGGTCTGATCAACTGACAGAAGAAACCTCTTAAAGGTTAAAGTAATCCAAAATGTGACTTCTCTCGGAACTTTTCTTTCATAAATATATATACAAATCGTTACCTTCTTCCTCGTGTTGCTGTTGGACACTGTCCATCACTGGTTGTTCACTTCCAAAAGTCAGTAAAGGTCTATGTAAGGCAAAAAAGGTACTTTGGGCAAGATCTCGAGGATGAATATGATTCACATGTACAAAAGGTAATTCTTGTTTTGGAGGAGTTACAGAAATGGCAGCTCGTTTCGTATTATTTGAAGAGTACAGTCTTGTCGCAGAGACAACGTATTTAACAAAGTTGTTGAGGTTATAGTTTGTTAGAGCCCGTTGGCGAAACAGGGACATTATTGATGCCATGTTTCAAAGTTATATGAAGCGCTCGTAAATTTTTATTAATAATATATATATATTACTTGTTAAAAGAACGAAGCCAGTATACACAAAAATCAAAAGTAATTTGAAACGAAGTAACGAGGCGTATAACGATAATAAATTCCCTATTCAATTATTCTATGCCAAATTTAAATGTCATGTGATTTATTATTAGCTGTTAGGAAAATTTCATTAAAGCATATGTCGCTTTATAGGTACAGTACTAGCGTCGGGTCCGTATTGCATGTATGTGTATATAAAAGTAAAATATATAAAATATATTTACCGTACGTAGTATACACGTATATAGGCTAACTTTCTCGTGATTGGCCAATTTTTTCAATTGAATTTATACAGTTTAAAGTA